CCCTACAAGCAGCGGGGATCCATGAAGTCTCTCATCCCTCCCTGGGATGGCTCCAGGGAGGGATGAGAGACTCCAGATGCCGGCGGTGGGGGGCGCCCGGTATTTTTGATAATAGCAGTCATCAGCGGCTTGTGAGCCGCTGATGACAGCTATTAATTTAAAGGGGACAGTCTGCTGAACAGTTCTACTATAAGCTGACCATCAGCTTATAGTACAACTGTAAATGCCAGGTCCGTATGGCATACTGAGCTGGCCAACTGGAAGCACTTTTGTAGGTCCGTATGCCATACGTCCTTGGCAGCGAAAGGGTTAAACAGAAAGTTAATATATGTATTATACATTGTATACAACAATCATCATTAGGGTTGTTTCACACCAGATGCACTGGGGCTGCTCTGCATATTTTTTCCAGCGCAGCCCCAATGCAAGACACGGCAATTTGCCTTGTCACAAACGGACGCCATTCACACCAACGCGTTAAGGTGGGAACGCAGTGGTGTGCATTGGAAGATGTATTTCATGTTGTACTGTTTTTCAGCACAGCGGGATGCGATGTGGAACAGCTGTCTCGCACACCACTGTGCCCACAGAACTAAATGAAATGTCACTCATGACATTTAAATGAAGTTCTAGCAAAAAAAGTACACAATGCAATGTATCAGGATTGGCGCATCAGCACTGTGCCAGGCACTGCGCACCAGCCTCTTTGCGATTTAGTCCCAATTCATGCGTAGGTGTACTCGCGTCATGTGCATCTGGGTGTTTTTGTGCGCATTTTCTTTTACGCGTTTGCCATACGTCCCCACTGATTTCAATGTATACGCACAACAAATGCAAAAATGGAGCTCATATAGAAAAATCTGTGGTGTGCATCCCACGTTCTGTCATGTTTGTTCGCGTTTTAACGTGCGCAAACACGTGTTGAAGACGCACAATTTCCCAGACACATTTGGGGTGCCATAAATGGCAACACAAACGCATATTGCTTGTGTGCGTGTTTTGGGAACGGGCGTCAAAGCGCACATTTTTATTCCTGTTTGAAATTGACACATGTTCCCAAAACATCCAGGTGTGAATGGGCCTTAATAGGAAGAAGACTTTAGGTTCTCTTTAAACAAACAGTTCCCTTAGCAGGCAGCTAAAATACAGGTAAGGGGTCTAAAAAATGTGTGGTGTCCATAAAGGTGCCCATAGTGTGATCCCGCAATCATACGATAATCGGCAGGTGTATGGAAGGCGTGCGACCGTTTCTACTGTACGGTTGCACATCTTCTGTCTCCCGAGCACGCCTGAAAACCCGCTGAGAATCGTATGATTTTCGGCGGGTTAGTGGCGTTCTTGGAAGACAAATGCCGAACGGGCCGGTGTGCACAAGCGCACCCTGCCCGCTCAGCACTGCAATCATCGCAAGCCCTCCCCTCGGCGGGGAGGGCTTGCGATGATTGCTAGTACGATCTGCCTGTCCAAGATGGGCAGGTCATACAAATTTTGAATTACCTTACAACTATCACACGATGAAAGTCGTGCGATGGTTGTATGGTGTATGGGCACCTTAACAGTCATTCTACCCCTTATTAATCAATATGCATGAAATATGTAGGAAAATGACAGCTGGAGTCTGAAACGTCAAATATTCCAAAGCTCTTACATTGTAACTACACAACAGTAACATGGGGAATAAATACACACAGACAAATTTCTGCCACACAGCCACAAATCACAACACAGACCTAATAGTATAGCTCTTCCTATAACCGATAACAGAAAGCAGATGACACACTCATAACTGGAAAAAGACAAATTAGTCCATAATTAAATGCATGTGTACTGATTCTTATTCATTTTATGGACAAGAGTTTGTTTCCATCCAAATGCAGGAATGTACTTTAAAAACATCAGAGCCAGGCATGCACCCTTCGCTTTCCACTCGATGAGGTCTTTAACAGGAAATTGTTCTGTACCTTCAAGAGTCATGTCAAATCGCCTGACATAGCTGCACGTTTCAATATTTGCACAATAAAACATAATGGTAGATCTTTCTCACGCCGACAGTTGTTGCTCTGCTAATGACAGGTGGAGGATGAATTGGGAGTTAAAGAAGCTACCTGACTTTTCCAATCCAGTATCAGGCCTACAATTTCAGCCAGCAAGTCAGCCAGCAAGTGGTACAACTGGCCACTGGATCTGTAGAAAGCTACAGCATTAAATGATCAGCACCAGCAAGATATCCAGGCAATGTAAAAAGTAACCCTTGCAGTGGGGCTACCCCCACACTGCAAGGGTTAAGTGCTTCTCTTGGTCTTGGGGCTAAAACAAAGATGATATACTCACCTGGTCCTTGGTCCTGCGGCGGTGAGCACATAAATCTCAGCCCCCACTCTGGCAGTGGAATATCCCTCGGTATACTCACGTCAGTTGTCATGGGCCCATAGACCGCGGGGGACCAGGACAGAAGAGGCTGCAGGGACTAGTCTAGCAGGACCAGGTGAGTATATTTTCCTAATTTTAGCCCCTAGACCAAAACGGGCAGTTAACCCTTGCAGTGCGGGGGTTACATTTTTCAATTGCCTCAAGTTCTTCTTTAACCATCATCAGTTAAACCACTTTTTTTATTAGAATGCATAATCATGATCGTGACAGACAGAATGCAGCAACAATATTAATAGGTTGGAACGTCTTTCCTTTTTTAATCCACAAGGTTGATCTCCTTTTAATAGCGTTAATGAGTTTAGGAAGCTACTTGGATGAGTGGTGAAACATCTTTAACATTACAGAACGAGGCCAGCTGAAAATAAATAATTATGACTAGATATACTATGACAAAAACCCTTTACACATGGAAATAAAATCTCCAAATAAAACCTTGAAAACGTGGACCTGATGGAGAACTAATAAACTTAAAGAAAGGCGGGAGCAATACCAACACATTAGTGTTGGACTCTGAGCACAGTGAAAATTGACTAGGAGCCAGGGGTGTGTCCATACAAATCAAAGTCAGGGCTTAGACTGCCGAATAACAAAATTGTTATAGCTGCAAGCAATAAAATAAACACAACAAAAATAAGTGTAATAAAACCAAATCTTATGGGTTCCTTAGAAACATTATAAACACAAAACAGGGGCATTGAACAGCAAGGATGTGGTAAAACAGTCCTGGACGCTGGTGGTGTTTGCTTGCCTGGCTGCAGACTGGTTTCCATTGAAGAGAAAGGAGGCTGCCTCTCGCACATGTATTTTTAGAGACAGAGACTGAAGCTGGGAGGGCTGTAGAGTAAAGATCTTGGAGGAGCGAGGTTGTATGATATCTACAAAAATGTTCAAGGCATGGGAGGAGGCACAGAAAGGGATACATGCACCAACAGTTCACAGTTGACTTAACTGCCCAGTGGCACTGCTCTGCCACCAGGAACAAAGAAAGGAAATATGATTTGGAGCTTATCGCCCCATGTGAGGGCACTGGGTGCCTCAACAACCTATTACCAAGCACTGGCACTATCATGTCGGAGGAAGGGGTGTCAGTCATATGCTTACGCAGTTCTGAGAATGTTTGTTTGTTTCTGTTACCAAAGGAAGCAATGATGTAACAAAAAGTAGGTATGTGCAGGTGGGGAGGGCAGCAATTAAAGTGACCCTGTCATTATAGGGTAATTTGTAAACAAAGCATTACATGTAAAAGAAGACCATGCGTACTTACGTACTTTCCGACAGTTTGTGTATTCAAACTCTGCCACTCTACTTCAAGGTGTATTAAATACCTGCTTCCCTGCTGCTTCCTTCCATGGTTCCTCCTGCCAGCATGTACGTCTTTTAGCCCAGTCAGGACAAGTGGTTTATTGAAGCTGCCATTGCTGACTTGATTTTAAAATGTGATGCGTCATGAGCTTCACTGCTAGGAAGCCACTATCCTGGAACTAGCATACAACTCATAAAGTCAGGAAAAACTTTACTCTTGGCCTGCATGCTTATTCCAGGTCAATGTCTCACCTGGTAA